CATTGCATTTTTCACCTTTCAAAAATTGTGGTGTTTTTTCTAACTGCCATGCCCCGAGTCGAAGGCAGACACTCAACTGCTCAACTGAGCCACCCAGGTGTCCCTAGTCCTGTACTTTTAAAGAAACAAATAAAATAAACTTCAAGAGAGATTTTGTAGTATGATGAAATCTTGGGCATTTCTATTAGTAACAATTTTAGATAATAAAATACTGTATCCAAGAAACAAGAAAGGATACTATAGAAACATTTAGAGAACAAGAAATTCTTGTCCCAGTGATCTCTAAATACACACACACACACACACACACACACACACACATATATAGGGACACCTGGATGGCTCAGCAGTGAAGCTCCACTTTCAGCCCAGGGTGTGATCCTGGAGTCCCAGGATCAAGTCCGACATTGGGCTCCCTGCATGGAGCCTGCTTCCTCTTTGCCTAGGTCTCTGTGTATCTCATGAATAAATAAAATCTTAAAATATATATATTTTTAATATAAATATTTTATATATGTTTATTAAATAATATATATATATATATATACAGAAAAAATGAAAAGTCTGCAAATGAGGCCTGACAATTTCCCTAGCTTACTTCTCTGAAGGAATTTCCAAGGTGGAGTTCTGGAAGGGAGAAGCCAGAGAAAACCTAGCAGTCTTCTGTGAACTAAGGAGAGAAAGCCAGGAATCTAGAGGCACCAAGATGACTAGAGTTCAGAGAGCAGAGTACTAGAGAGAGAATACCTTTTGAATCTTCAGCTGAGTACTGATTAGTACATGCATGTGAAGGAATTACCCAACATAGGGGAAGGAACCACCTGAAAAAAGCAGGGGGAGCTATCTCCTGAATCCACACAGGACCAGAGATATTTTATGTTATGACCAGTCCAAGCAGAAAACCTTACAAATCACAGGACATATAATACAATCCTCAAAAGGATTTTGCTTCAGAGTGGGGTCCCTAGACATTTTGTCCCTAGACTAAATGCTGCTCTGGTTTTGCCTAATAAGCCATTAAAGTGACTAAGAACCAAACTCGTGAATATTCACAGAAAAACAAGACACCCATTATGCAACATGGCAAAATTCACAACTACTGCAAAACATTTTATGAGGTGCCTGGATAGCTCAGGTCATGATCTCAGGGTCCTGGCATTGAGCCCCGGGTCAGGCTTCCTGCTTAGCAGGGAGTCTGCTTCTCCCTCTCCGTCTGCCCTTCCCTTCTGCTTCTGCTTTCTCTAATAAATAGATAAAATCTTAAAGACTTCATTAGAAAAAAATAACCAAGCAGCACACAGCAGAAAAATATGACCCACAATGAGGAGAAAAGCAAATGAACAGAAATAGTTGCAGAAGTGACACAGATATCAGTTAGTAGAAAAAGACCTTAAAACAATTTTAGTTAATATTATAAGTATTCCACAGTAGAGACATGGAAGATACAAAAACAACCCAAATCAGATATCCAATGAAATAAAATGTCTGACATGAAAACCATAATGAATAGAAGTAACAGCAGACAAATTGTTATGGAAGAAATAGTGACCTTGAAGACAGAGCAATGAAACCTATCTAAAGGATAACAGAGAGATAGAAAAGACAAAAAAACAAAAAAAAAAACAAAAAAAAAACAACAACTGAGCATCAGTGAGCTAGGAGACAACTTGAAGCACCCTAGAAATATCTTATTCAAGTCCCCAAAGAAGACAGTAGGGGGTATAAAAATATTTGAATAAGCAATGGCTGAAATTTTTCCAAATTTGATGAAAACTATAAGAGATTCCAGAAGCTTGACAAATATTTAGCACAATAAATATGAATAAAACTATACCAAAGAATAGTCATCAAATTTCTTAAAACCAGTTATAAGGAGAAAACCTTAAAGGCAAGCAGACCCCTAACCTCCCCCATCAAAAACAAAAACAAAAACAAAACAAACAAAAAAACAAATAAAATAAAATATGGGGAAAAAACCACAAAAGAACCCACACAATTTAGAATTCTATGCCCAGCAAAACTATCTTCAAAATATAAAGTAAAGACATAAGACATAAGCCAAAAGAATGCTGAAAGAATTCATGTCCAGCAGATTTATACTACAAAAATATGTTAAAGAAAGTCTAACAGGCAGAAAAAAAAAAGATACCAGATGGAAATATGGATCTACACAAATGAGGAGACTAGAAATGTGGGTATATTTAACAGCATTTTTCTCCCTATTTTTAAATCTCTTTAAAATTTGATTTTATAGGGGCATCTGGGTGGTTCAGTTGGCTAAGTGTCCGACTCTTGATTTCAGCTTGGGTCATGAGCTCAGGATTGTGAGATTGAGCCAAGTGTTGGGTGCCACGCTGTGTGGAGTCTGCTTGAGTTTCTCTCCCTTTCCTTCTCCATCCTCCACTGTCCCTCTCATGCACATTAAGACATGCACATTAAGACAAAATCTTTAAAATTTGATTTTAAATTAAAAATTTAATTTTGTATAAAGCAAAAATAAAAATAATTAAAAATCTACTCTGGGGTTACAATGTATGGAGCAGTAAAATGTATGGTAAAAAAAAGCACAAAGGCTGATTGGGGAGAAATGGAAGTATATTAGTGTAAGGGCCCTAAACACAAAGTAGTAGTTAGAGATGTTTAGTATCAACCCTAAAGCAACCACCAAGACAGCAAGCAAAGAGTTACAGGTAACAAACCAATAAAGGAGATAAAATAATTATTAAAAAAATAATAATAATCCCAGTAAAAGCCTGAAGAGAAAAAAGGGGAGGGAAGGGGCAAAGAACACGGGAAAAAAAAAAAAGAAATAGTGGACTGGTATATTTAAACAAAACTGTATCAGTCACCATATAAATCAAAAACCTCACCTAGGGATCCCTGGGTGGCGCAACGGTTTGGCGCCTATCTTTGGCCCAGGGCGCGATCCTGGAGACCCGGGATCGAATCCCATGTCGGGCTCCCGGTGCATGGAGCCTGCTTCTCCCTCTACCTATGTCTCTGCCTCTCTCTCTGTGTGTGTGACTATCATAAATAAATAAAAATTAAAAAAAAAAAAAAACCTCACCTAAAAGGCAAAGATACTGGGACGCCTGGATGGCTCAGCAGTTGAGCATCTGTCTTCGGCCTAGGGTGTGATCCTGGAGTCCTGGGATCGAGTCCTACATCGGGCTCCCTTTGCCTGTGTCTCTGCCTCTCTCTTTCTCTCTCTCTGTGTCTCATGAATAAATAAAATCTTAAAAAAAGGTAAAGATGTCAGACTGAATGAAAAAGCATTCAGTTGTATAGCCCCCACAAAACATCATTTTTTACATAAACAAATAGGTTAAAAGGATGGGAAATGACACTAGTCTAACATTACTTGTTAAAAAAGCTATAGTGGCTTTTATCAGGAAACTGGCTTCCAGAGCAAAGAATTTATCAGGGTTAAAGAAGGTCATTTCAGAATGACAAAGGAGCCAATTCATCAAAACATGATAGCCCTAAATGTATCTTCAAATAACATGATGCATGAGATGAGCACTGGGTATCATAACTGTATGTTGGCAAACTGAATTTAAATAGAATTTTTTAAATATATTAAAATAAAAAAACATGAAACAAAAATTGATAAACCGCAAGGAGAAAAAGATATTTATAATTATAGTTGGAGATTTGAATACTCTTCTCTCAATAATTAATAGACAAAAAATCAGGATACAGAAGACTTGAGCACTAACAAAATAAAGCTCATTGATATTTATACAATAATATTCCATCCAACAGCAAAACACACATTCAAGTGTACACAGAACATCTACTAAGGTAGGGCACATTTGGGGCCATAAAACATCTCAAAACTTATTTCAAAATATTCTGCAGAATTTATGTGGCCTTTGTCCGGGGTTCCTGGCATGGAGCTCCTAAAACCCTTAGAATTTCCCAAGTAATCTAAGTGTCTTTTTTACTCTACATAGAGTATGCTAAATGATGTGACTCATGAGGAGCCCCAGATACCTATGCCAACAGGAAGCAGGCTTAGGATGCAGTGGTCCAGACCAGAAAGATCACCACATGATTAGAATGTTGAGACTTAGAACCATCCTGACATTCAGGGAGGGGAGGGGCCCTGGGGACCTGGAGACTGATTTTAACCACAAGGTCAATAATTTCCTAAACCTTCCCAACATACTGAAATCCTAAGAAAAACTCTGGGTTTCCTAAGATCTTAAAAGTTCTCATCACAAGGAAAAAAAAAAATTTTAACTATGAATGGTGACAGATGCTAGACTTACTATGGTGATCATTTTGCAATATATATACAAGTACCAAATAATTATATTGTACACCTGAAATGATGTTATGCCAATTGTATCTAATTTTAACAAGAAAACAACTGTTAGCTAGGATACAACAGAGTTACCCAAAGAAGAGGCCTGAATGTTGGCAGAAGGGAGGAGGGGGAAGGCACAAAAGTAGGGAAGGAACGGGGTTTTGTTTTGCAGAACCCATAGTTCCAGCCAAGTAGAAGCTCAACCAGGTGTTTGGCCTGATAGCTTGCTAGGTGTCTTGCTAGGTTATCCGTCCCCTGGGAGCCCCCTATCTGAGCTAGTCAGAGCTGGACTGGATGGAGCTGGAGCAGGGCAGAAGCCCTCTGGAGTTGTCCTAAAGTACCTATATCTCATTATGATAATAAGATCTCCTTCTATGGGTGGAGTTTTCTGCCATTTTTTGAACACATGATGTATGCATTACCGTTTTGACATGCTAGGCTTGCACAATTCAAACAAAAGTGCCTTCGGAAGCTCCCTCCTCCCACCCTTACACTGAATAAAAGCTTCCTGCTCTAGTAGCATGGTGAGACAGTTCCTTGTGAGCTCCCTGTCCTCTTACTTGTGACAAGCAATAAAAAGTTCTTTGCTTTCAACATTTCCTTGCGCTGTGTTCAATGTGGTGTACCCCCAACAGGGAACCCCTTGAGTTGTTACATAACCAAAAACAAACAGAAAAACCCTCTGGACTTCCTGATCACTTGATATGTTTTATTTCTCGACCAAGTTAAACAGTTGTTGCTTATAATTACCCATTAACTTACGTATGCACTTTTCTGTATATAAATTTCACGATAAAATGTTTTTAAATATTGAAATTAATCCAGATTTGATGAAGACATAAATCTGCAGATTCAGAAAGCAACTAAATCCCAAACATAAGAAATCTGTAGCTAGACATATAAGAACTGCAGATCTCCAAAGATAAAAGTGAACCTCTCAAAACAGCCCAGCCCAAAGAAATCAGTTCAAAATCCAGTTTTAAAGACACAATTTTAGAAAGTGAATTCTACTTTGAAGGAATGAATGCCTGAGATGCAATTTAAAAAAAGAAAAAGATAATCCTGTGTGCAAACCTAAACATTAACTCTATAAAATACCAATAATATCCAATTTGGAAGCTAATGAAGTAGAGGAATTGATTAAAATTAACATATTTTAACATCTTTATGTTGTTTAGAAAGAAAGCACATATGTTTGCTATTTTTGGATGTTAGGCATGTTAAATTTTTTTTTGAAGATTTTATTTCAGAGAGAGAGCACATGCACAGGCGCCGAGAAAGGGGCAGAGGGAGGGGCAGAGGGAGAAGCAGACTCCCTACTGAGCAGGGAGCCAATGCTGGCTTGATCCTAGGACCCGGATATCATGACCTCAGCCAAACAAGCACCCACACATATTAAAAGGGTAATCAGAAGTACTTAAAATGTTTACATTTTAAATCAGTCAAGGGAAAATATATTTTGAAAATTCAAGTAATCCAAAAAAGGATGAAAAAGCATAGCATAGAAAAAGAGAAAAAAGTAGAAAATATGGAAAAAATGAATCCCACCAGATTTGCACTTTTGCATTATTGTAGGACAAATACTCTTAAGAGTTCCTCCAATTGTATCTTCTTTATCCATTATCTGTTGGTGGACACCGAGGCTCCTCCCACAGTTTGGCTATTGTGGACATTGCTGCTAGAAACATAGGGGTGCAGGTGTCCCGGCGTTTCCCTGCATCTGTATCTTTGGGGTAAATCCCCAGCAGGGCAATTGCTGGGTCGTAGGGCAGGTCTATTTTTAACTCTTTGAGGAACCTCCACACAGTTTTCCAGAGTGGCTGCATCAGTTCACATTCCCACCAACAGTGCAGGAGGGTTCCCCTTTCTCCACATCCTCTCCAACATTTGTGGTTTCCTGTCTTGTTAATTTCCCCCATTCTCACTGGGGTGAGGTGGGATCTTATGGTGCTTTTGATTTGTATGTCCCTGATGACCAGTGATACGGGGCATTTTCTCATGTGCTTGTTGGCCATGTGTGTGTCTCCTTTGGTGACTTTTCTGTTCATGTCTTTTGCCCATTTCATGATTGAATTGTTTATACTATATGTTGGCAAATTGAACTCCAATAAAAAAGTACATATAAAAATTGTTTAAAATAACCAAGAAAAAAAAAAGTTCCTCTAATAGTGGGGCCCCTGGGTGACTCAGTGGATTAAGCATCTGCCTTCAGCTCAGGTCATGATCCTGGGTCCTGGAATCGAGTCCTATATCAGGCTCCCTGCTCAGCAAGGAGTCTGCTTTTCCCTCTCCCTCTGCTGCTCCCCCTGCTTTGTGCTCTCCCTTTCTCAATTAAATAAATAAAATTCTAAAAAAAAGAGTTCCTCCAATACAAAACACTAGATTCTGGAGAAAAAAAGACTTTTTAATTCATTGTTGGTTGAACTATACAAAGGAAATCTCCAGGTCCCAATCCCCTACAATCAAAGGGGCAAAAATTGAGCTGAAACAAGCAGGAAAACATCGGAAGGTATCAGGCAAAAAGCAAACTTGAAAGGCGGGGTTCACCTGACCGCAAATGCTGACAGCAGCCTGCAATTGACCTCTGGAAACAAAACTTTGGGACAGGAGCAAGGTCGGGGAGCTGAAAATAAGACAAACTAAGACAACTGCCTGCAGGAAGGACCCTTCAAGGGGCTCCAGTGATACCAAATGAGTTCATACTGACTCACTGGAAGCAGATGCAAATCATATCTGAAGGGAAGCATGCACAGATTAGGTCTTTTGTCTTCCCACAAACTAAGCTCAGCAGCACACTCCAGGAAACAGGCTAAAATGGCACACAACAATATCCAAAAACAGACTTACAAACACTGAAAATATTAAAATGATCAAAAACAGAATGAGTTTTTAAAAATTAGAAACAGACTTATAAGAGGCTACAATGAATAAATGGGAAGATCAGAAAAAAATGAAATGAAAATATAATTATTAAAAGCATCATTAGGATTTTAAACAGTAGATCAGGGATAGCCCTGGTGGCCCAGCCGTTTAGTGCCGCCTTCAGCCCAGGGCCTGATCCTGGAATCCCAGGATTGAGTCCCACATTGGGCTCCCTGCATGGAGCCTGCTTCTCCCTCTGCCTGTGTCTCTGCCTCTCTCTCTCTCTCTGTGCGTCTGTCATGAATAAATACATAAAATCTTTTAAAAAATAAAAAATAAACAGTAGATTGGATAGTGCTGAAAAACAAATTAATGAACAAGAGCAGAGCTGATGAAATTAACCAAAATGCAGCAGATAAACAAGATGCCGAGAATGATGTGATTAAGGGATGTGAAGGATGGAATAAGAAAGTCCATCATTTGTGCAGAGTCCTAGAAGAACAGAAAAGCAGTATCTGAGGAACCAGTAGTCAAATATCTTAAAGAATTAACATGAATTGAAAGAAAGTGGAAGCCAGTATATATACTTAGGAAAAAAGGAAATTCACATCTCCAAACACTATAGTTAATCTGTGGAATACCAAAGGAAAATAATACGATTAAAAGGAGATGGAAATAAAAGGTAAACTGTCAGAATGCAAAGGCACAAAGATGTTGAAAAGGTAATTTAAAGCCACAGGATGAGTGACAAGGCTGTAATAATACCTCTGCATCCTCATTTCAGAAACTGCACTTCCACTTTTCTCTTTTTAAACTGGCCAAAATTGTTTTACTCTTAACCTTTAAAAAAAAAAAAAACACCTTTCTGTTTAATAATTTCAGCTGAAATAATACAAGGATTCTTAGAAAAAAATTTAAATATATTATCTAAAGTAATATACTTTATCAGTTTAACAACCTTACCAGTATGCAACATGTAGAGAATTCATAATCCTTGACCCAGAGTACTAAATATTTGCATATAAATAACTCTTGAGGCTCTTGCTCCAAATTACTGTTTTTGATAACCCCAAACTCCCTGTTAAAAATCCTTGGTTAGGGAATTTTCAAATTTCAAGAAATCTAAAACTAAATTAAAACTTCTTACCTAAAAGAAGGTATCTTTACATTACTATTTATTCACATTTGTATACTTCATTTTTATTGTCTTTTCTTTAGATTATATCTGCAACTAGATTATATCTGCAAGGTTATAAACCTGAGAACAGGACTCTTCTAAATCAGTGCTGAGGTATACTTTGATGTGTTCTAGAAACTTGGGAAAAAGAGAACACCTATCGATTTAGTGATTGTATACATTTGATTTGGGTATGACATCCTTAATCTCATCTCCAAAAATAAGAAGATGCAAAAACATCTAATCATTATTTGAAAACCTTATAGACCAGCCCAAAGGAAATGGACTTCTTCTATTACCTACATTCTGAAAAACCTATCACAGTGCCTTTCTGGTGTCCATCCTTCCCTTAATTTCCTGGATGGAGAGTTCCTTCTAACTGTCTACAACATACACACTCCTGCCCAACTTTGCACTGGCCCCTGCCACACCATGCATTCGATACTCACTGAGTGCCTCCTCTGTACTAGTCACTGTAGCAGATTCTGGTGTATACTCAGAAGCATTAGTTGCATATACATTGCTTTGGTATTTTTTTTTAAATCAGATTATTAAATGGTACACAATACTTCAGTCATAGATATCTGTATTTTTAGTAGTTGGCAGAATTTCTTATCTGGAAGTTTCCTAACGGGCTGAATTTCTTGAGCCATTCCCTATTTCACAGAAAAAAAAAAATTGTTCTTTGCTATGTCACAGCAATGATTTGTTAGTCTATGTTTTACACACAGATGTATGTCTTCCCCCACCACCCCTCCCGATTTATGGGAAATGTACTAATACTAACCATGATATTATTTTTATTGAAAAGCAATATAAAACAGCTTTAGAAATAAGATAATTTTACATTATTTCTTCTGTTATGAATATTGTTATGCTTTGTCAGAATTTACTTCCCATAACTAGACTTGCTTTTATCTGGAACATTTTATATTGGAATTTCTACATTATTGAATCTCTATTAGTGTTTAATTTAGAGGCGCTTAATAAACTGCTAAATCTGAGAACAATGGCCTTTCCTTTGCTTTTTAGACCTTTTTTCTGAACGTGCTTATTTATGTACATTGTGGAAATCTGATCCTGCTCTCTTCCAGTCTGCCAACAGCTCTTTTTGTACCTCTTCTGGTAGTTCATAGAAAACTTCAGGATCAACGTCAGAAGGAAAGGTAATTTTCTCATCACTAGAATCTTGCTCTCTATTTTCTTTAAGTCCTTCATGATGAGAGACTGTCACTACTGGTTCCTTATGGTTATCTGTAGAGCAGTTCTTGGAGAAAAGTTGCTCACTCTGCAAATTTGGAAATGAATGGAAAATAGATACAGCAGGGTTTGTATTTGAGAAATGAAATCCTTGAGATTCTTTAGGTCCTTGACTCATTCGTTCATCTTGTAATCTACTGTCTATATAATGTGAATAATTCTTTTGGCTAGATGGAGAAGAGGAATTACTGCTATTTAAACCTGATGTTCCTGGTTCACAGGAAGATACAGACGATATCTGTTTACTATTGGATAAATGATTTTTAGGATTTAAGGGACTATCTTGCATTTGTTTTGTAGAAAAGAAAGATAATACTCCTCTAGAGGCATGTAATGGACAATTCAAACTTCCTTTGCCTTGAACTTTTTCTCCAGATTTTCCAGAAAGGATTTCTTCTTGAATATCTACTGGAAGCTCCTTAAAGACTTCTTGGTCAATACCTTCAGGAAGTGAGCAGAGTGGGAATTCATCACTGTCTGCAGTATCTCGTGGAGCCTCCCCAGTTCTTGTACTTTCAATTCTTCCAGATGGTAGAAAATCCCAATTTGTTTCTTTGTCTTTGGGAAAATCTTCCATATGACTGTCTTTCATTTTCTAGGACACAAGAATAACAGTAATTAAAGGTATCTGTTATTTTTTAAATATTCATGATGCTGAAGAGGACTATTACCTGACCAACACGTTTCTGTCCTACTCAATAATTTCAATCCTTTTGGCCAATTCCAAACAACGAGAGATGATAAATCCACCACATTAGTCATACTATTGTGTGCATCTTTATTCACTATTCTAGGGAGAGGTTTCCTTCCTAGATAGTATTGAGCCAGAAGATAGGTATGCATCTGGAAACTTGGAAAGTACCTTAACAATCATGTTTTCAAATTTACAATTCTGTGAATAAAGGAACAGTAGCCTAGAAAAGTAAATGATTTGCCTACAAGTATCTTAAAAATATATATATGCACAGAACATCAAAGGCTAGTTTTCTGAAAATCTCTATTCTGAAGTGTAACATTTAACAAAAAATATATATATTTCTATGGTAAAAATCCAGTATCGATATGAAGATATTGTACTATTTATATTTACATAAAATAAAAATTTAAATTTCAGTTCTAATTAGCATAATTTTTCTGTATAAAAATTTTCACTTAAATTTTCCCTCTAGTTTTAAGCACCATGAAAATATATACACAGTCATAAATAACCCAGGAAACATCAACACAACAGTAACTGCAAAAAAATTAAAAGGAGAAGAGATCTGAGACACTGTATTTACCATATGCCAGACATGTACAAGGTACTTTCATTTATGTTTACCTTCCTAAAACCATTATAAAGACTCTAATTCTGTTTCTACCAAATAAGAAGTAAAAAGTAACTTTTTAAAATTTCAGTTAATAAAGGGAATAAAAACTACAGAAAAAAAGTAATTTGAAGAGACACTGATTATTTCTGTAACAGTATTCTGTTCTCATTTTTAAACTGAAATGTTAATGAAGATATTACTGATATACTGATTAAACATTAAAACAAAGAAAATAATAACATTCTGAATTAAGAGTTAACTGCAGGCAAGTACAATTTAGTAAAATATGATTATTTCTTAAAGCATCCCACATTTAGTAAGTAGAGATTTGCTAAATGGCCATACATAGAGTTTTATTTAGTCACTTGAAAGTATGACCAGCCTCTGCTTCTCTACTGCCACACTCTTAATTTCTACAATTTAGAATGAGTAGTCATATCAATCTTGCTATCAAAATTCAATGTAATTTCAAAACCAAATAGGGCAGCCCAGGTGGCTCAGCAGTTTAGCGCCGCCTTCAGCCCAGGGCCTGATCCTGGAGACCAGGGATAGAGTCCCACGTTGGGCTCCCTGCGTGGAGCCTGCTTCTCCTCTGCCTGTGTCTGTCTCTCTCTCTCTCTCTCTCTCTCTCTCCTTCCTCTGCCTGTGTCTCTGCCTCCCTCTCTCTCTCTGTGTCTCTCATGAATAAATAAATAAAATCTTAAAAAAAAACAATTTCAAATTTCAAAACCAAATACTTTAACAAAAACATTGAGAGATGGAATGCTGCTAGCTTATGTTTCAATTAACAGACAAACAGATTTTATTTCCAATATCTAGCAATATTTTCATATTCATCATATTCCTGTTGCTATAAAATGTTTTAATACTTCCAAAACAAGGAACTTCCAAAATGGTTTTCTCTTATTCAGTGATGCTTATGTTTTCTTCTTAGATCACAGTACAGTACTTATGGCTAGCAACCATGATATGATAGGTAATATATACAAGTAAATTCAAACAATATCATCCAGAAGGATCTCTGAATTGTATCAGTGGAACATAAACAGATTTGTAAATTAAGGGACGCCGGGGTGGCTCAGTGGTTGATCATCTACCTTTGGCTCAGGGTGTGATGTCAGAGTCCCAGGATCAAGTCCCACATCGGGCTCCCTGCATGAAGCCTGCTTCCCCTCCCCCTCCTTATGTCTCTGCCTTTCTCTCTCTGTATGTCTCTTGTGAATAAATAAATAAAATCTTTAAAAAAAATTTGTAAGTTAACCACACAAAACCAACAAGAGTGTACTTACAAAACTGCGCTTGCCAGACCGTGAAGTTGTTGATAATGATGGTGTCAAATAATAATCAATAGTCCCTTTCTTAGAAGTATTTAGTGCTTTAAGGTTACAGAGGCACACACTTAAAAGAGTAAGATGAAACGGCATCTTCACATTTACCATATTTCGGAAAAGTTTCATAAGTATACCAACCATTGGGGTTATCACATCGCAATTTCCTAAACAAAATTATTTGAGAAGACCATATTTAAGCACATTATATCACAATTAACATTAAAAGCTTAATATAATTTATATTGCTTGCATTAAGAAGTTAAAATCCTAAACAGATATCATTGGGATATCTTGACATTACATACTAAACTGGGACAATCTCACACCAATACTAAAGGCCAAATGAGTTTAAGTTTTCAAAAGGTTTGAAATATGGGACTTCTGATTATGCAAGTGTAATCAGGTCAGAAAATCTTCTCCTCATAAAACTACAATAAAACTGGATTTTGTGGGGATCCCTGGGTGGCTCAGCGGTTTAGCGCTTGCCTTTGGCCCAAGGCGTGATGCTGGAGTCCTGGGATGGAGTCCTACGTCGGGCTCCCGGCATGGAGCTTCTCCCTCTGCCTGTGTCTCTGCTTCTCTCTCTCTCTCTCTCTCTCTCATGAATAAATAAATAAAATCTTTAAAAAAAAAAAAAAAAGAACAACTGGACTTTGTGACTAATGTGGTGACTTTTAGGCTCTAGCATTTGAACAAAAGCTTTGACCACTCTTTGGCTAACCACTAAACTATGCAGACATGGATAACCTAGGAAGCCAAAATAAAAAATTTAAATTAAAAAAAAAAGAAAGGTATGCAGAGAAATCAAAGGCTACACATCATAGGGGAGGGAGATTCTGCAGCTTAAATTCAGACAAGTTAGAAAAGGAAAAGGGAGGGGAAAAAGGCCTACAAGAAGAAAATCCAGGGACGCCTGGGTGGCTCAGCGGTTGAGCGTCTGTCTTCGGCTCAGGGTGTGATCCCAGGGTTCTGGGATTGAGTCCCACCCACATCGGGCTCCCTGCATGGAGCCTGCTTCTCCTTCTGCCTGTGTCTTTGCCTCTCTCTCTCTCTCTCTCATGAATGAATAAATAAAATCTTAAAAAAAAAAAATCCAAATCCAGAGTTATTAAAATACATTATCTAAAATGTCCACTTTTCAACAAATATTACAATGTATGAAGAAATAGGAGTGTGATTCTAGTCAGGAGGAAAAAGCAGTCAATAGAAATGGACTTTGAGTTGCATTTAGCAGACTTCAAAGTTGCTACTATAGATATGCTCAAAAAACTAAAGGGACACCTATGTGGCTCGGTGGGATAAGCCTCCATCTCTTGATTTCAGCTTAGGACATGATCTCTCAGGATCAAGAGACTAAGCCTCAAGTTGGGCTCCACGCTCAGCAAGGAATCTGCTTCTCTCCCTCTCCCTCCACTTGTGCACACATACTCTGTCTCTGTCTCTCTCTAAAATAAAGAAATAAAATCTGTAAAAAAAGAATTAAAGAAAACCACTTTAAAGAATTAAAGTAAAATACGAGGAGTGCCTAGTATTTTAGGGACCAGTCAGTCAGTTAACCATGTGACTCTCGGTTTTGGCTCAGGTCATGATCTCATGGGTCATGGGACTGAGCCTACTTAGAGGTTCCAAGTTCAGCAGGGAATCTGCTTGAAGATTATCTCCCTCTGCTTCTTCCCCTGTGCTCAACACCTCTCTCTCTCTCTCTCTCTCATTTAAAAAATAAAAATTAAAAATTAAGTAAAATATGTTAACTACCAAAAAAGGGGAATTTCATTAAGGAAACAGACTCAAATATGCAAACAAGCCAAATGGAGAGTCTAGAGTTAAAAAGTACAGTAACCAAAATAAATAAAATCATTAGATGGGCAATAGCCGTTTTGAGATTAAGAGGTGAATCAAGAGAACTTGAAGACAGCTCGATAGAAATTATCCCATCTTGGGGTGCTTAGCTGGCTTAGTTGGTATAGTATAGCATGCAACTCTTGATTTCAGGGTTATAAGTTGGAGCTTCATATTGAGTGTAAAGATTACCTAAAAAATAAAATCCTTAAGGAAAAAGAAATTATCCAAGCTAAAAAGAAGAGAAAAAAGACTGAAGAAAAATGAACAGAATTGCACATACCTGTAGGATATTATCAAGCATAGTGACATATGTACAATGGAGTCCCAGAGGAGATGGTAGGGAAAAAAAGGGCAAGACTTGAAGAAATAAGAGCCTAAAACTCCCAAAATTTCATTAAAAAATAAATCTACAGAATCAAGAAATTCAATAAATCCCAAGAAAGATAAATACAAAGATTCCACACTTAGACATATCATGGTCAAACTGATGAAAGACAAAAACAGAGAAAACTCATCACATAAATGAGAATAACAATACAACTACTATTGTTATACCACAACTCAGCTCCAAATTCACCCTTCAGTACCTGCTCTGTGATAATGCACTGGATTATAAAATTTTTCACACTGAATATGACATTACACATTGTCATTAGAGAACACTGGAAGACTATTAAAGGAGAAAGGTGGCTTCTCTTCCTGGTTCCAATGTACTACCATTTGCTTTTTCTTTCTCCCATTACATGGTTTGTAATACATACGTGTGAGAACATCTAATAGTGTTTTCAATAATACACACATGTGGAACACTCAGTAACCTCAAGCCCTAACCTGAGCTTAGTGACTATGTACTATGGTACTACCCACTCAAATACCATACATACCAGGAGAGTGCTCCCACTCATTCTGCACACCCACCTAACAGCCTTGACTTGCCTCTAACCTCAGATGGCTGTTTCCTCCAGGTCTTCCTATGCAGGCACCGTATCTTCTGCCTTTGCATTAACAGAATACAGATATGTTCAGCACAATTATCCATGAGCCTCAGCTTGCCTGTATCCTAAAGGGTTGTTAACAGAATCTTCCAACACGAACACTGCATACTCCAACACATGCACTGCCTCATCAATAAGGAAACTCCCAATATCCCAACTCCTTCTGTGTGCCTACCAACCAGTCTCAGCTCATCCACAGATCAGAGGATGGTTTTCTCTCTGTTCAATAACTATGGACAAGCTCTGGGCCAGGTAATTCCAAAGATTTCTCCACCATCCAGTGTTCTGCAACCACTCCTTCTCCTTGAGGGGTAGGGGACTTTCCTTTCTAAGTTTGTTCTTCCTTACTAGGTACTTTTCCTCAGTCCTTGGTTACCTCTTAAGAGTCTTCTTTATACCTTTAAAATCACTCCCCTATCACAGTTTAATAATTCTGTGAAGCTTTCTCTATTCAAATTTTTGGTGGTTATTCTCTCCTGACTAGAAGGGGACTGATAAAACTATTAAGAGCTGACTCCTCATCACAAATTATGAAAACCAGAAGACAACAGAATGGTATATTCAAAGTATAGAAAGAGGGATCCCTGGGTGGAGCAGCAGTTTGGCACCCGCCTTTGGCCCAGGGTGCGATCCTGGAGACCCGGGATCGAATCCCACGTCGGGCTCCCGGTGCATGGAGCCTGCTTCTCTCTCTGCCTGTGTCTCTGCCTCTCTCTCTCTCTCTGTGTGACTATCATAAATAAATAAAAATAAAAAAAAAAGTACAGAAAGAAAAACAGTCAAGAATTATATCCAGGGGATCCCTGGGTGGCTCAGTGGTTTGGCACCTGCCTTTGGTGCCCTTTGGTCCAGGGCGCAATCCTGGAGTCTGGGGATTGAGTCCCATGTCAGGCTCCTGGCATGGAGCCTGCTTCTCCCTCTGCCTGTGTCTCTGCCTCTCTCTCTCTCTCTCTATGTCTATCATGAATAAATAAATAAATAAATAAAATCATTAAAAAAATTATATCCAGACAAACTGTCATTCAAAAATGCCATATTGGTCGAGTCTTCCACAAATTTTAGTTAGGTAGAATGATTTGATAGTGTTGCTCAACTCTTCTTTTCAAATATAAATAGTGAATTTTCCAGGATAGACTACATGCTAGGCAATAAAATTACACTCAAGAAATCTAGACAGACTGAAATTACTCAAAATATGTTCTCTGATCAACATGAAATTAAGGTAGAAAACAACAGAATGAATTTTGGGAAATCATCAAATCTAAAGCATCTAAAGCACTACTAAAAAGAAATGTGTAATGTTAAACTTGAATTATTATAAAAGGAGTATAAAATAAATGAAACACCAGGGAAAAAGAAAAATTAAACCTAAAGCAAGCAGGAAGAAGGCAAAACAAAGAGCAGAGTTAAATGAAATTGGAAGTAGAAAAACAACAGAGAAACCAATGACATCAAAAGTTGGATCTTAAATCAATAAAACCTTTGAGTGAGGCTTACTCAGATAAACTTTGCTAGAATGACAAAGAAAAAAGAATACCTTCATTACCAAAATCAGGAATGAAAGAAGAGACATCACTACAGATCCTACCAAAATTAGAAGGATTACAAGGGGAAATTTTTTAAAAAATAGAGATGAGATATTGATTATGTACCCATCTCCCAGCTTTGATAAATTATACCATTATGCTCTATTGGTTCAAGAATCTTTTTTTAAAAAGATTTTTATTTATTTATGAGAGAGAGAGAGAGAGAGAGAGGGCAAGTGAAAGAGAAAACACGAGCAGGGAGAGAGAGAAGCCTACTCCTCGCTGAGCAGAGAGCCCAATATGGACTTGATCCCTCGACTCCAGGATCATAACCCAAGTTGAAGGGAACTAAGTCACCCAGGCACTTGTAATAAAAGAATATTGACCATTTCATGCCAACAAACTAGACAACTTGAATGAAATGGACACATTCCTAAAAAAATTAAAATTACTAAAACTGACTCAAAATAAATAGAAAATCTGAATTAACCTACAATAAATAAAAAAAAATCAAATTCCTATTTTAAAATCTTCCCCAAACAAAAAGCCCAGGATCATGAATAGCCAAAACAATTCAAAACAGAACAAAGGTAAGGAATTACACTACTTAATTTCAAAACATAACAAAGTATCAGATTGGGTGGAACTGATATAAGGATAACCATACAGATCAATGGAATAAGAAAATCAAGGGGATCCCTGGGTGGCTCAGTGGTTTAGTGCTGCCTTCAGCCCAGGGCATAATCCTGGAATCCTGGGATCAAGTCCCTAATCAGGCTCCCCATGGGGAGCCTGCCTCTCCCTCTGTCTGTGTCTCTGCCTCTCTCTCTCTCCCTCTCTGTGTCTCTCATAAATAAATAAATGAAATCTTAAAAAAAAAAGGAATAAGAAAATCAAGAAATAAACTACTTAGTTTTTTGACAAAGGTGCCATGACAATTCAAGAAAGAATAATCTATTTAACAAATTCTGGGGATCCCTGGGTGGCGCAGCAGTTTGGCGCCTGCCTTTGGCCCAGGGCGCGATCCTGGAGACCCGGGATCGAATCCCACGTCAGGCTCCCGGTGCATGGAGCCTGCTTCTCCCTCTGCCTGTGTCTCTGCCTCTCTCTCTCTCTCTGTATGACTATCGTAAATAAATTTAAAAAAATTAAAAAAAAATTCTGTTGGAACAAGTGGATATCCACATACAAAAGAATGAATTAAGCCCTTTATCATACACCACACACAAAAATTTACTCAAATTAGATCTAATTTTAAAGCTTAAAACTATAAATTTCTAAAAGAAAACATGGAGGGGTAATCTATGGCCTTTGGGTTAGACAAAGAATTTTTAGATAGGACATCAAAAGCATTATCCATAAAAGAGGAGGAAAAAAACCCATAAAATACAATGAAATACCACTACTAGGCCACAAGAATGACTATAATAAAAGAAACTGACAATACTAAGTGGGAGAGAGAACATGAAAACCTGGGCCCCTCATGCATTCTTGCTAAGAATATAAACTGTTATACTCACTTTGGGAAAACGTTTGGCAGTTTCTTAAAGTTCAATTTACCACATAACTCAGCAATTCCAGTCTTTGTAATCTACCCAAGATAAAAACATGTATCTGCCCAAATGCAAATATTCATAGCATCATTTTCCTAAGAGTCAAAAAAGGGAAACAATCTAAATGTCCATAAAGAAGTTATCTTGTGCCATATAATACATTATCATAGTTTTGTTTTCTCTGAACTTGGCAAACTCTATTAACTGCATCTTTTTTTTTTAAGATTTTAAAAATTTATTCATGAGAGACACAGAGAGAGAGAGAGACAAAGACAGAGACAGAGACACAGGCAGAGGGAGAAGCAGGCTCCATGCAGGGAGCCTGACCTGGGACTCAGTCCCGGGTTTCCAGGATCAGGCCCTGGGCTGAAGGCGGCGCTAAACCGCTGAGCCATCCGGGCCGCCCTGTATCTTCATTTTTACTATCTATAAAAACCAACACAGTTTTCCTGTGAAAATTCCTGATAGAATGAAGGTATTTAATAGCTCACTAACTCTGTGAAGACCCTACAACTTTGGATCATATTTCTAATTCAAAGTTAGTTCTTTTAAGAGTTCAACCTGCCAATTAAATTATTAGAAAATTAGCCCATACCTGTTCCCAACTTCTGAATTATATGTGATGGAATAGGGCACTGACGACTCTCACGGCTACAGTGATTCTCAGATGAATATTGACGGATTATTAATCTGATTGTATGTGGCTTCCTTCCATCTTGGCATACTCTAAAAGTTAAGAGAAAGGAGAAACAGGAAAGTAAAGTATTACCTAAAGATTTTTTTAATCTATAGAGGTATCAAATTTAGTAACTGTAACAATTATAAACATGGTTGATAACTAGGCAGTAAGCAGTAAAAGGCCCTGAATGGCCCAAACAAATTACACCAAGCGTATGCACCAAAGCTCTAAAATCTTAAATGTAGAGCTCTCAGACCTTAATCAGAATTGAGTGAAATCAGGAAAAGAATGGAAATAAGATATAACAAGTCATTTTATAATCAAATACAAACCACTAAAACATATTAAAAATCAGCAGGAAATTTAAGAAACTAAGAGACTCGTTCACTGGCAGAGGCAAATATGTGAAATTTTTATACTGAAAAAAAATAAGATTACAAAAAAGGAAAAAAAGGTTTTAAATGAGATAACTTTTGTCAAACAGCACTCCCTGAACAGACACAAGGAACAGGAATATCACCATTATATGGCAAATAAGAGCAATGACTTGAAACATCAATTATAGGGGGGATCACTGGGTGGCTCAGAAGTTTGGTGCCTGCCTTTGGTCCAGGCATGATCCTGTAGTGCCGGGATTGAGTCCTGCATCAGGCTCCCTGCATGGAGCCTGCTTTTGCCTTTGCCTCTCTCTCTCTCTCTGTGTCTATCATGAATAAATAAATAAAATCTTAAAAAAAAAAAGAAACCAATTATATACTGAAGACGTATATGTACATGTGTCTTAAAAAGTGTTCCATTTAAATGGCCTTGGTCTTAGCATTGAAACAAAGGTTTTAATGAGAAAGAAATTCACTTAAAAAGCAGAAAATCTAATTACTAGAATGAATGTCATTAAAAAATAATATTTTCCTTTTTATATATATGGCAATGCATTAAAAAATCACAAACATAAAATAAAAATATTGTACACTGTTAAACATACTCAAATATTTTGAACTGGAAAATTTGGATTTTTGTGATAATTTATCACAAAACGTCTTGATTGCTGCCTTACTAAAATAATAAAATATCTTACATCGTTCCTATAAATGTGTTACTAGTTTAAATATCTTCCAGTTAAACAACTTCTATGAAGTCCTTATATAATTTAGAGTGTGACTTGGTTTGTATAACTAATTAAGACTTATTAGGAAAAGGTTATATTCTAAGCAAGTGTAAACTAGAGGGGAAAATACATTCACACAAGCACAATTTTTTTTTTTTTGGCCAGTCACTTAGATGGTATTATACCTCAGTTACTGAAGAAGAGGGGATAGAAAACAGAGACACGGATAAATGGTTCATACTTGGTAATTTACAGGTTTAGAGCACCTAGCCTCATTTCTGTGTCGATTCTACAAATATAAGAGCCTACAAAATTTTTTTTGTGGTTTCTTTACGGGCAGAACTCTTTCCAAGGGCCAGGCATTTCATAGTAGTCTCATAGTAACTGAAGCCAAGCAGATGACCCAGTTTCAGGAGCATACTCACAGGCCCAGCCTGAGTTATATCACCGAAGCTAGGTCACTCAGCCAGCCCCAGTCGTGTGCAGCAAATGATGAGTGCATGGCTCTGCTCAAGACTTGAGAACCACACAGCATGTGACAGTAACGCTGTAGGAAATTTTACCTCATTAGTTTACTGAGACTTAGAGTCATCTAAAATCCTTTTTCCTCAGTCATAGTTAGCCATCCTACCCTCATTTACAGAAGCACAGCTGCTCAAAACTGTTAGACCCCTGCCACCTTATACTGAGAAGTCTAAGAAATAGGAGGAAGACAGACAATACTCTTCTATGGAATACTGAGAAATAGATATATGATAGTAAAGGAGCATCAGAAAACTAAACATCTTGTTTGGTTTACGCTATGCTATTTGTATACTCATAACGCAGCCGACACGTTCATGTATTTACAGACCAGGGCCCTGCACACAACACACTCTGGCTGCACACACATAGCCTCATTTAGCTATTTCTTTGTCTGAGTCTATCTTCTTTCACATAGTCTGATGCAAAGGAGATATGAGGGTTCGTCTACTTTCTCCATCACTGGTGCTCTTCACAATTTCCTATCCTCAATCATCACAAATTTATAAGTGTAGAGATTCTAAATATCCATAAAACCCTCTTAGGTGGGATCCGTGGGTGGAGCAGCGGTTTGGCGCCTGCCTTTGGCCCGGGGCGCGATCCTGGAGACCCGGGATCGAATCCCACATCGGGCTCCCGGTGCATGGAGCCTGCTTCTCCCTCTGCCTGTGTCTCTGCCTCTCTGTCTCTCTCTGTGTGACTATCATGAATAAATAAATAAAATCTTAAAAAAAAAAAAAACAAAAACCCTCTTAGGTAACTGAGCAGCTTAAGAGCCACAGTATAACCACAATGTTACTAAAATTAAGACTAATGAAAATGAATTATATTTAGTTATGAGCATCTATTGCTATTTTTTGCAACAGTTTATATTGTAGAGAAATTCAATGATAAGTGATCTCTCTTTACACTGTTCAGTCTCCAGTTAATCTATAAATTTCAAGATAGAAATTTCAACTATACTTTCTATATACTCTATACAGAATATATAGAATGATATGGCAAAACGGAAAATCACCTGTTCAAGAGACTGGCAAGTAGTTCTTCAATCTTATTTTTAACTTCGACTTCTGATGAACACTTTTTAAATGAATCTTCTTCACTAAAGGACTACCAAAGAAGCACAAATAGGGATTATTGTAAACCAATAAGCATATCCAGTTATAAGTGTGCATGCCAAATATTCAATACATTCTTTATTAACTTCCTTCTTGTGCTTAATTTCAGCCATTTAGTTCACTTTTATTTTTTTATTTTTTTTAGGATTTTATTTATTTATTCATGAGACGCACACACACACACAGAGAGAGAAAGAGAGAGAAAGAGAAAAAGAGAGAAAGAGAGAGAGAGAGAGAGAGAGAGAGAGAGAGAGAGGCAGAGACACAGGCAGAGGGAGAAGTAGGCTCCATGCAGGGAGCCTGACGTAGGACTCAAACCCAGGACCGGGACCATACCCTGGGCTGAAGGCAGGCACACCAAACTGCTGAGCCACCCAGGTGTCCCTAGTTCACTTTTATATTAACTCTTTTTATCTGCAAGTTACTGCACTCCACTAGAAAGTATCCAGAAAGTCAAGAAAATTATAAAGCTCTAGTACCAACTCCAAGCTTTACTTTACAATTACAGTGAGGCTCTTAATCTCCTAGCACTTGAATTTGAGTTTAACCTTAGACACGTTATTTAACCTTTCTGAAGTACAGTACCCTCATCTTTAAAACAAGAACGGGAGAGTGGGAAAAAGGTATGAACAAATAATAGCACTACCTACCTCGAAGCTTTGTTGTAAAGATTAAATGGACTAAGGTACATAAAGCACTTAGTAAAGTGCCTGTCACATAGGAAAAAAAAAAATCAGTGTTAACTGGGTGATTATACCTGTCTTCATTTCCTAAATCATTAGACTACTTGGAAAACAAGATTTCTTAAAAATTAAAATATTTTGCCTAATATATGCAATATGGGCTGTAAGTAGTATTTAAGCAAGGTACCTAACTTGAGACAGAAATACGAATTCTTAGATTCAATTTAAAAATATTTACTAATCTAGGGATGCCTATGTGGCTCAGTCAGTTATGCATCCAACTGTTGATTTCAGCTCAGGTCACTTGATCTCAGGGTCATGAGTTCAAAGCCCACCATAGAGTCTACTTAAAAAAAAAAAATTTACTAACTCATAGGATAGAGACCAATACTAACCTAGTAAGCAAATTAGAATAGTAAGAACATAGTACTAAAGCCAGAAATCTTTATCTCAAATAATGTGGCAACCAGTACCAATTAAAATAAAATCATTATCAGGTACCTGAGGTGGTCCTGAGGGTGTCACAGGAGAGTTATCCTCTCCAAAACTGAGCTTCTGGATACGCTGAGCAACTGAAATTCCTAATTCTTTTTCTAATATTTTGGATGAAAAGGTTTGAAGATCATGCACACTACTGATACCCAGAGCTTCAAGACGTTTGGCAGTTTTATAGCCAATACCTAGACAAAAAGAAATACGTACAGTGTTAGAGTAGCTTTTCTCCTTAAAATAAAGCTACTTAAAATATTACATACACACACACACACACACACACACACACACACACACCCCACATCTTTAAATTCCATAATGAATATTTCACTAGGATTAAATTTTATTGAAAATTAGGCTATCCTTCTTCTGCTCAGGACCTCTTATATGAACCACTTCAGAAACCTCACAACCCTAGTACAACGTAATAAATATGGAGACAACCAATAAATGCTGTCTTGATAAAATGAAATGTTTACCACCTGTTACATAACACCTTGGAAGTATTCAAGAATAATGGTTATTATTCATGCAAAGGAAGACTGTCACTACAGCAACAAAATTAATTAGCATGTGCTAGTCAGCTAACCTGATTCTTACACATAATATCACACATTTATCCACAAGACATATCTGGCAATATTTACTATCCCAAAATAAGATTAAGGAAGCAAACAAACAAAAAAATCTACTCATTAGCAAAACTCTTATCAAAAGTTCTTGCACTAAAACTCAGCCAATACTTTAGCACCCTGAGATACTCAGGTAATTAGTGCTCCTTTATTTTTCTCATTAAAGAGAAAAATTCTACAGTATTTTGATTTCCCACCACAGTAAAAGAAGTAACAGAAAGGCAATGGATGTGGAGGGATAATTTTTTTTTTTTTTAACATTTAAGAGAAAAAAAGAGCAAGAGCAGGAAGAGCAGAAGATGAAGGAGAGAATCTCAAGCAAACTCTATGCTGATCATGGAGCCCCATGCTGGGCTTGATCTCATGATCCTGAGATCACGACCTGACCCAAAATCAAGAGTCAGAGGTTTAACCTACTGAGCCCCCCAGGCCCTCGTGGAGGGGAAATTAAGTAGTGTGTCAGATATTTTCATAGCTGAAATAAAAGAGAGCTGGCAATCTGGCAATAAGAAAGAAAAGAGAAAGCCTATAAAAATAAATAAATGCAAGTACTCAAAAAGTAAAGCCAAGTAATAATGTCATATGAACGGTATACAGTCCTCAATTTATTACAACCTGATGTAGTCAGAACACAACACAGACTCAGTGTCATCCAGAAAACTTCAAGGTATACAATATTAATGACAGCAAGGCAGTGTACAAAACATTTTGTAACCACACAAACATGGGTTAAATAAATGAAGTTATGACATCTGAAAGTTCAACCATCTTAGAAATTCACTTCCACAGAATTCTAACATCTTACGCCCTAGCAGTGCCATAGAAATGAAGTTTAACATATCCTTTATTAATGGTCTATAAAACCGTATCTGGCCTTCAAAGACAGAAATTTGCCCCATGACCTGAGGTCACTAATCCCCTCAAGAAAATTAGTTTCCTCATCTTTAAGACATGAACTTGGCCTCAATGCTTTGAAGGGCCCCTTATAGCCCTAATATTTTCCATATAATCCCAAAGTAGTTAGTAAAAGGCCAATGCCCCCTCTAGATGCAGCGTGTGGTCTAAGGATACAAAGCAGGGATTGAAAATAAAGGACTGTGTTTCCAGGTTATAAGTTTCATGATCATATTCAAAGTATACAAAAAGTGGTGAAACTAGAAAAGTACTTTCATAGATTTCTTAACCCAGATTCCCTAAAGAACATTAGGGTTTTGGGTTTTCTCCAAGAGCCAAGTATACAGGTTCTAAGAATTAATAACATTTAAGCATGATTTTTAAAATTAAAAAAAATTTAAGAAAACTAATGTATATTTTTCAAATATAAATGTCTTACCAGGCATTTCCTTTACATGGTTCAAGCTCTGAATGAGAACTTGAGAACTTTCAGGTAGTAAGACTGTTTGTTGATTTGGTTTAAAAACACCAGAAACTAATTTTGCCAATAATTTATTAGAAGCCACTCCAGCACAGCCAGTGAGACCCAGTTGATTATTCATGGCTTCCCGCATCTCTGCTGCAATCTGAGATCCAACAAGTAATCTGATGTGCAAGATGTCATGCAGGTTTATATCTACAAAAAGAGCAAATATCATTAAAAGTCACCACAAATTTTTTTTTTACAAATGAGTTTAAAAAGGACATAGGGCATTTCTTCTCCCTTCCCTTATATTCCCCTTCACTATTATTCATATTCCCCAAATGAGTGAGAACATACAAGAAATGTGTAGGAGATATCAGAAAGGGACACAGAACATAAAGACTTCTAACTCTGGGAAATGAACTAGGGGTGGTGGAAGGGGAGGAGGGCGGGGGGTGGGGGTGAATGGGTGACGGGCACGGAGGGGGACACTTGACGGGATGAGCACTGGGTGTTATTCTGTATGTTGGTAAATTGAACACCAATAAAAATTAATTTATAAAAAAAAAAAAAAAAAAGGACATAGGGCTTGGGATGCCTGGGTGGCTCAGCAGGCGGCTCAGGTCAGGATCCTGTCCACATTAAGCTCCCTGTGGGAGCCTACTTCTCCCTCTGCCTTGCTCTCTCAGTCTGTGTCTCTCATGAATAAATAAATAAATCTTTAAAAGGCGGGGGGCACAGGGTTTAAACTATATCCAACCCTTTTCTCCAACACCACCATACTGTCACCCACTTAACACATCTCTTTGATTCTTCATAGAAATCCTGTAAAGTAAATAACTTCCAGAAGTGAATTCCTAGTGCCTGGGATAGTGAATGCATGCTGGGAGTGCTTAATGATTAACAGATTGTGAAAACTGATCTCTCATTAAAAAAAAGTCCCTACTGACATTGGTAAAACTTTTACTCATGTTTAATCATAAGCAAGCATAAAAGTAGAAGTATTACATTAATAAGAGCTAACATTACAGCTTTAAAGGTATGAATCTAAATTTTACACACACTACCTATATGTGCTACTGAAAACAATTCTTAATCTGTATGTAATTTATCTTTTATGAAGGGTATAGGGAAATTATACTGAAACATTTTCTTCAGGGTGAAAATGGTATTAGGATTATATGAGGCTGTCCTTATCTTCAGGAGTATTTACAGATGAAATGTCATGAGGTCTGCAAGTTACCTTTAAACAGGTCATCAATCAACCAACCAATCAATAAAGAAGGAGCAAGATAAAGTAAATGTAGGAAAATAACAATGGGTGTATCTACAAGGAAGGGCATAGTTAGTGTTCTCACTGTATTACTGTAGGTTTGAAAAAAAATTTTAACAGAATCTTGTGAGGAAAGATTCATAAAGAATTAGATATTTTCTCTTTAGGATAGAAAACCTAGCTCTCGGGATCCCTGGGTGGCTCAGCAGTTTAGCGCCTGCCTTTAGCCCAGGGCGTGATCCTGGAGTCCCAGGATCGAGTCCTGCGTCGGACTCCCGGCGTGGAGCCTGGCCTCTCTCTCTCTCTCTGTGTGTCTATCATGAATAAATAAATAAAATCTTTAAAACAAAAAAAGAAGAAGAAGAAAACCTAGCTCTCTGTAATATGTTCTAACAAATACTGTATTTGCTTTAAAAATTATACGGAAACCTACTTAGAACCTTCTTCTATTCAGTCCTTATAAGTGACATGGTACAAAAGATGTGAAAAGCTTCATGTCCTCTGCTAGAAGAGAACTGTAGCTCTACCCCTTTTCTTCTTTAATATCAGAATGGCAGAAAACTAGACTGGAGATTGATCACCAGCTCTCAAAAAAGCGATAAGAGGACACATATGCTGAGACCTAGGAGCAAGAAGGTCAGGGCAAGTCTTACACAAAAGCAGAGTAGCATGTTTTCCATGGTAGTATGATTTGGAAGTCACCAGCAGAGTTACAAGGTGTTTAAAGTTTAACAGATATTCACTGGGGCTTATTGACACTTATTTTCAAATGCAAGTATCTCTGGAAATACCATTAGTCATTTATACTTTAATATGTGAAGGAGATGGACCATTCTGTTTTCTTGCTAAGAGCTGGCGAAGATTGTCAAACTGACTGAATATGAGCTTGCAAAAGATGGCAGGTAGGCCTGGACAAGCTTCCACAGGGGTAACTCAAGAACTCAGAGAGCAACATAAGTGTCTTGATGCCTGGGGGAATAGAAGGGAACAAGCAGAAGAGGCAACAAAAAACAAATTTAGTTTACTTCAAATTTTTGCTTAAAGACAGTTTGAGGAGAATCAAAAATTTTTCTAAAAAGTCTATTATCATGGCAACTCTTATAACTTAAGGATGACCTAAGGAGGTATGGCTCTTAAGAAATGGTAACACAGGGATCCCTGGGTGGCGCAGTGGTTTGGCGCCTGCCTTTGGCCCAGGGCGTGATCCTGGAGACCCCGGATCGAATCCCACATCGGGCTCCCGGTGCATGGAGCCTGCTTCTCCCTCTGCCTGTGTCTCTGCCTCTCTCTCTCTCTGTGACTATCATAAATAAAAATTAAAAAAAAAAAAAAAAGAAATGGTAACACAGGGCAGCCCCAGTGGCTCAGCGGTTTAGCGCCGCCTTTGGCCCAGGGTGTGATCCTGGAGACCCGGGATCAAGTCCCACGTCGGGCTCCCTGCATGGAGCCTGCTTCTCCCTCTGCCTGTGTCTCTGCTTCTCTCTCTCTCTGTGGGTCTCTCATGAATAAATAAATAAAATCTTAAAAACAAAACAAAAAAAAGAAATGGTAACACCAAATGTGTCAAAGAAATGAAAAGAGCATGGAGCCCTAAGCTACAGATCATCAAAATCTCACTTTCTGCCTACTTAATATGGAATAGCAATACCTAATTTTAGTCATTTGAGATTGATCACTGAAATATGCTGTACCTACAACAAAAGCCATAAAATTTTCAGAAAGATAAATTCAACTCATTGAACTCCTTGAATTCAGTGAAAAAATTTAAAAGTAGGTACTTTTAGTTATTAAACAGAGGAAAAATTCACTTACACTGATTATTATAAACATGACCTGACACAGTCAGTGCTGAAAGTTCATCACTTTGAAGTTGCTGTAGTCTCTTCTCAACCATTTCTGTTAGATCCACAAAATTTTCATCAAATCCAAGTCTCTCAACAATTGGACTAAATTCTTCCAACAACTCTAAATTGAAATAATATTGGCACACAGATGTTATCTAAAGTCCTAACTAAAATATAGATTCAACTATTTCGTGCTTAAAAATACATCAAATATGTTAAAGGTTTTATGTATATTCACACTTCCACAATATCTTTAATAAAGTTTTCCACTGGGACTCCTGAGTGACTCAGTGGTTGAGCATCTGCCTTTGGCCCAGGGCGTGATTCCGGAATTCGGGATCGAGTCCCACACTGGCCTCCTTGCGGGGAGCCTGCTTCTCCCTCTGCCTGTGTCTCTGCCTCTCTCTGCATCTCTCATGAATAAATAAAATAGTTAAAAAATAATAAATAAAACTTCCAATAATTACTGAATAAAAAAAAGTCACTTAAGTTTCAAAATACACAATGCAAAATTTTGATTAGTCATCTACCAACTTATTACTTAAGAGTAGATATGAATCATGAATTACATATCTTCAAATGTCCAGCACCTAACACACAATACCTTGTCCTTAAGTCAAATGCTTGCTGAACTGAACTGAACCAAAATTTGAAATAAATTCAAAATGACAATTAATTCTTATTTTTCGGATTAAAACTAGTTAACTCTGAAATCATTGAGAAGAATTTTCACTTCTCTCTGAATCATCTACTGATACCAGCAGGATGGCAGAAAACTATTAGTCCCTTCTTATATAAAAATGCAGTTCTCAAAGTCCTATATAATATGAAAGTTCAGAAATAAAAGTACATACAGATCATTTTTTACAGAAATAGCAAAAATATCTCCATTTTATTTATGCCAACTTGATAATATCCAGGGAAAACAATAATGATTAATAATGTGACCTGGTGACCACCAAAAATCCCTTCCAATCTACCTAGAGAAAACCATTTATCTGAGACTGACAATATTTGATCACATAAAAGGATTCTACTGCATTTCCCTCATCAATTTCTGCAATTTGTTTCAAAAGTATATACTATATAAGAAAAATAATGGATAATTTTTAAGTAAGCAGAAAAGCAAATTAAACACGGGACCATGCACAAAGCTGGTGGATCACTGAGCACTGACTGATTATACAGGTTCTATTACTAGGTCACAGGGATAAATCATTAACCTATTCCTGAAGTTAATCTCTTTTTTTGCTGTCAAACTTCATGAACAAGATGCATTTATTAAACATACAAGGCCAAAGAGAGCAGTTTGTAATTAGAGAAAAAACTATCTAGACCAAAACATATAAAAATATAATATATATAGTAGAAAAATATAAAATAAACAAGATTATATATCATAAATAGCTCAGAGCTAAATTCAGTATAGGACTATTAAGTCATCTTCCTACTTCAACTCAGAAAATACTATGAGAAAATTAAGAAAATATTTTTTATTAATGCACAAATCATGCTTAGAATATTTGTCATTATGCAATTACACCAACATGGGGCTTGAATTCACCATACAATATATATCTCTAATTTCAAAAAATGTTTTTATGTACTTTTTTATAAAAGTATAATGCTTTGTTTCTACTTTTTCTCACGTTCTTTATTTTTTGCAAGTATGATGGACATAAAACAATCTCTCACTAATTCAAATTTCCTTAGCTACTAATGAATTTGAGTATTTTTGTCCCACATAATTGTGGACATTGGGTTTGTTCTTTCTGTCAACTGCCTATTTATATCTTTCATCCATTTTTCTTAACTATCTTTTTTTTGTAAATTTGAAAGGGCTTTGGATATTATATTTAACACTTTCATCTGAAAACTGCTCCAATTTATAAAAGAACAAGCAAAAACAATAGCAAAAAAGATGAACAGCTGATTCTTATACGTTTTTAAGTTATTATATATTCGCAATATGCCAGTACAAATGCATTTTCATTTTTCCTATACTTTACTAAAACTCTTAAGATTCAAACCCAAATCTTAATATGGAAGAGTTTATCTATACTATAATATTTAGTGTACATATACACGTATGTATACAATCCAAGAAAAAATTAATATACTCATCATTATTTTGTCTAATAGTTAACAAATCTAGTTTTTAAATATTTTTTTTCTTTATTTATTTATGATAGTCACACAGGGAGAGAGAGAGGCAGAGACACAGGCAGAGGGAGAAGCAGGCTCCATGCACCGGGAGCCTGACATGGGATTCGATCCCGGATCTCCAGGATCGCGCCCCGGGCCAAAGGCAGGCGCCAAACCGCTGCGCCACCCGGGGATCCCACAAATCTAGTTTTTAATTAAGTTAATCAAATATCAGAGAAGCCTCTCCCAAATATCAGTGCATGAAAGTACAGTTATTTCCTCATAATTCATTTAAATTTGGTATTTAAAGGGAAGCCCGGGTGGCTCAGTGGTTAAGCGTCCACCTTCAGCCCAGGGCGTGATCCTGGAGACCTGGGATCGAGTCCCACATCAGGCTCCCTGCATGGAGCCTGCTTCTCCCTCTGCCTCTCTGCCTCTCTCTCTCTCTCATGAATAAATAAATCTAAAAAATAAATAATAAATAAATTTCATATTTAAGTTTAAAATAAAAGTATTTTACTTTCTTTGGTATATCTTTCCATTATCTTGTTTCCAAATTTTATTTTACATTTTTTCTCACAGTATATAAATATCAGTCATAAGAGTCTCCAAATTTCTCCCAACTATACATTTTTTTGTCAATATTGCTCATATAAAGTCATCCTCTTATGTGTATAAAATGTTTTTAAAACCAGGCAAGATCCAAAAAAAAGTCATTAGCAAACAAAAGTGATTTATGGCATTTTACTAATTAAAAGACTCATGTAGTGAATGGGCATCCTATATACAAATTAATGCTGAAAGTACATTGCCCATGATCTGTACCTGTAACCTTATATGACATCTCTCTGTAACGAGTCAAGTCTTCTCCATTAACTAATACCAGCTGTGGACATTTTTCTTTTGCATCTCTGACATTCATTAGTTTCTTAACTCCAAGTTTCCTAGCTTCATAGTTGCAGGTAACTACCAAATATTTCTGCTGAACGCCTATAAAAAGTAAATATTTTATGAGAAAATTGAGCAGGATTAAAGAAATATTTTAAAATAAAATCTACTAATTCCATATTATAAGTTGTAATGCAATCTATTTTAAGAATAAAAAGCTCTACTCATTTAAAAAGCAAATCCTCCATTCATCAAAGTTTTATTAAGTAAAATTCAACAAAAATTATCATAAATCAGTATATTCTCTGGAATCTTCAGTGAAAAGATACAAATAAAACCCTTCTAGGATTTTTTTTTTCAGACAATACAAACCAGATTGATTTACATTGAATTAACTCACTCTATATAAAGTGTATGCCATATTTCACCAAAAAAATAAGGCAGAAGAAAATAACTGAGTACAATTAATTACTGGTTTCTGCTAGAAAAACTTTCCAAAGAATATAAAGCAATGTTCTGTTACAAGTGTCAAAATACAGTAATCATTAAAGATCTCTCCCATCCCCAATAAATATAATTATCAAACTATTCTTCACAGTAATTAGCTAAAAATATTAGACAGTGAGGCATCATTAATAGGCCTCCTCCTTATCAAAAATGATTAAATTATGATCTACAGATCATAAAAATTCTAGCTTACTAGTGGTGGCTTAAGATTGATGAAATTAATTAATTTTCTCTTTACACAAGTTGACCACTTGTTTGCCATTATAAAAGTAATGTTCATCTAACATACATAAAATGCAAACAGGTGGGAGAACGAAAAAGGTTACGTCCATTCCACCAATGTCAGACATTTGTTTCTAAAATATTATAAACAGGGCAAGAAACGTTATTTCACATAAAGATTTTTGATATATCAGATTGTGCCCCAAAACAGAATCTCTGGGTCAAAGTAATTTAAGATTCATTAGTGAACTATATAAAAAATAGGACTGGTAACTTGCTCAACTAAAAAAGCAGTCTCTTAATACAGAATTAAATTAAGGTAGACTCACCACTGTATGTCACCAGCCCAAAAAGTCACACATTCGGTGAGCATAACTGAAAGACTACTTTTGTTTTCTCCTAGAAACTTTTAGCATCACATTTCTCACTTCCAGATAATCATTCATTCCTGTGTCTTAATCATACAATAATTTTTTATTGAGCATTATCTACATAGCAGCTTTGTTTTATACTACTACTAATTACAAATGCCTTTACGAGAAAACTTACAACCTCCAATCCTAACTCCTTGACGCCCTTGGGAAAGTTTAAATATCTTAGACCGGTACTGGCATACTAAAAACTAATCATCCCTTTGTTCAACCAGGCTGGGTTGAACTGGGATTTATCAAAACCAAACCAGGCACGAGAGGTTAGCAGCCAGTGAACCAAAATTGCCCTTTATGTTTCTATTAAAAGATAAAGTCTTACTACATGCATAAAATAAATTTTTGGAAATTTAAATGACTTTTCCAAATACAAGCCAACATAGGGATCCCTGGATGGCTCAGTGGTTTGGTGCCTGCCTTCGGCTCAGGGTGTGGTCCTAGGATCCCGGGATTGAGTCCCGCATTGGGCTCCCTGCCTGGAGCCTGCTTCTCCCTCTCTCTCTCTGTGTGTCTCTCATGAATAAATAAATAGAATCTTAAAAAATAAATAAATAAAAAACCCAACATATTAATAAGTAAATCCTCAACATAAAATTTCTCTTTGCCTTTTATTCAAAATGATACTTGTATTTTTGTGAAAAGCTTACGCCCTATATGCCTTAAGTATTTAGGGGTCTGTTCAAAATCCAACTGTTGTGCAATTCAAGAGTTAATTTCAAAACTGGATAGATGAAAACTCCACTAGAATGTAGTAAGACTTTGAGACAAGAGGATTATAAATTTCATTGAGAACAAGACTGCAAGTTTATTATGGTCTTTCTGTTCACGTTCAGTTGGCTATAGTACTTGTATAAAATCCAGCATTTATTAAATAGGGCTTATCAGTTTCACACCTGGTCGTGAGAGTTTACAAAGTACCTCAAGAACTGCTTCCAAAATCTTTAATAGGATTAATAAATCGGAATATAATCAACATAAATGAATAGCTAGCACTCTTATACAAAAAGGAATTATTGCTAATGCCCAGAGTTACCTAAAGGTTTGCCCTTCAGTTCGGGGTTGGAGATCATTTCTACTTGTGCATAAAAGCAATCCAGGTCCACGTGAACTATGACTCTGGCTGGAGGGCCTCCTTCGGGCACCACTTGATCATGAAGCAACGTGCCACATGCAAAGAAACAGAAATAAATATATTCAGGCTGCTGGTCGTGTCTGAGTAACCGGCAGTTCTTTAAAAAAAACTGTAACTGAGAAAGAAGAATGCAGAATGACTTTTTTTTTTTCCTGGATTCATGGGTCAATGCATCTGAAAAAAAATCATAGAGATGAAACTGCACGTGCAGTCGGGTCTCCAGTCCTGTTCAGCTCCTATTTCTTTGCGGACTCTTACTGCTCTCAGGCTCCCCGCTACCTGGAGGCCGAAAATCATATCCTGGTTGATAACGCAAGATCCAAGAGGCAATCCGTCGTTTGCAAGTTCATGGTAAAACAAAACAAAACAAAACATCTAGATTAAAGCCTAAGGGGCAGAGAAGTTCAAACGCTGATTTCAACCAACTAAAAAAATCATTCTAAGTAGCATGTCCTTAAATCAAAAAAAAAAAAAAAAAAAAAAAGCCAAGCCATGGCCCCCAGGCCTCTTTAGGGACCACAGGGGAACAGGGCCATCTAGTTCGGGGCTGAATCCGCAGGGTCTAGGACGGCGCCTAGCATCTAACAGGCTGCCGATAAGAACTCGTTAAATGGGAAAAGAAAAAAAAAAAACACAAAAATAACTATTATTTGAATTTTAAAAAGGAGCTCATGTCCTGGGGTGGGGAGGCGCGGGGAGGGTGCAGGGCTGTGCAGCTCTTAACCGGTTCAAGGGCGACGCGCTACCGTGGCCCCGAACGGGATCCCGCACTTTCCCGGGGAACCCGGCGGGGCTGCGTGGCGTCTGTGCCTCAGTTCGCCGCGTGGGGCCTGCGCTCGCTCCTCCGCCAACTGAGCCCACACGCACCGCAGCCGGCCCCGGCCGCGCGCTGCAGGAGGCGGACGCGCTTCTGCGACCCCCGGGTCCCGGGATCGAGTCCCGCGATCGAGTCCCGCGATCGAGTCCCGCGCCGCGCTCCCCGCAGGGACCCTGCTTCTCCTTCCGCCTCTCTCTCTCATATGAATAAATAAATAAATAATCTTAAAAGAAAACCAGCGGGGCGGCCCGGGTGGCCCAGCCGTTGAGCATCTGCCTTCGGCCCAGGGCGTGACCCCGGGATCGAGTCCCACATCGGGCTCCCAGCATGGAGCCTGCTTCTCCCTCTGCCTGTGTCTCTGCCTCTGTGTGTGTGTGTCCACGAATAAGTAAATAAAAAGCTTTTTTTTTGGGATCCCTGGGTGGCGCAGCGGTTTGGCGCCTGCCTTTGGCCCAGGGCGCGATCCTGGAGACCCGGGATCGAATCCCACATCGGGCTCCCGGTGCGTGGAGCCTGCTTCTCCCTCTGCCTGTGTCTCTGCCTCTCTCTCTCTCTCTCTCTCTGTGACTATCATAAATAAAAAAATAAAAAAAAAATAAATTAAAAAAAAAAGTTTAAAAAAAAAAAAAGTTAAACGTGTAAAGGGGGAGCGGGTAGGGGGTGGGGAGAGCAGCCTGGCGCCGGGCCGGGTGGGCGCTATGCGCCCGAGCCCCGAGGTCGGAGGCTGGACCCTCCCAACCCGAGGTCGCAGGCGGGGGTCCCCGAGGTCGGGGACGGGAACCTCCAGGTCGCAGGCGGGGGTCCCCGAGGTCGGGGACGGGAACCCCCAGGTCGCAGGCGGTCCCCCCCCCACCGAGGTCGGGGGCGGGGGCCCCCCCCAGGCCAGAGGACGCAGGGTCCCCGAGGTCAGAGGCGGAGCCCCCCGAGGTCGGAGGAGGCGGGGTCCCCGAGGTCAGAGGCGGAGCCCCCCCCCCCCGAGATCGGAGGAGGCGGGGTCCCCGAGGTCGGAGGCGGCCCCGCACATGCGCCCGTCCGAGCCTCCCGCCCGCCCCTCCCCGCGGCATCGCAGCGCGCACGCCCACTCGAGCCCGAGGAGGCCACGCCGCCGGCGTCGGGGTCTGGGCCGCCCAACGCCCAGCCGCGGACAGCACCCTCCCTCGCGCCCGCCCCGCCCTCCTCATTGACGCCGACCGAGGCCGCCGGGCTCCTCTGGCGCGGCCGCCGCGGGGCTGCAGCCCGCCTCCCCAGCCTCCGCCGCCTCGTCGCCGCCCGCTTCCTCCGCGGGCCCCGCCCGCCGCTGCTCCATGTCGCCGGGGCCGCCGCCGCGCTGCTTCCGGCCGCCTCCGGCCGCTTCCGCCCGGTCTCCAGGGAAACCGCGCCCCGCCCCCCCGGCTGCCACGCCTGCGCAGTCCGGGCCGCCGCGGGCTCGGCGCGCGCTGGGCCCACGTGCCGGGCAGGCCGGAAGGGCGGGCTTTCAGGCCGAAACAGCTTTTTTTTGGTTTTTTTGTTTGTTTGTTTTTGGTGAGATCTTTGGAGTCAGCCCCATCCCACAGATTTAACCTTTTTTAGTCTGACAAAGAGGCCGGCCCGCTCCCCGGATAACTTAGCGAACTGGGGCCCCGTGGGGTGCTGGGCGGAGCCGCGAGGCCGCGGAGCCCGGGGAGGAGGAGGCCTCGGCCCAGCCGCCCGGCGCCTGCGAGCCCTGGGGTGGGGCGGGTCCCTCGCGGGCCCCTCGCGGGGTCAAGGCGCCGGCGGCGGGTCAGGCCTGAATCCTTGAGCGGCTCAGGTCGGGTGGCAGCTGGGGGTTTCCGAACCCGCCTCCGCCTCGCTGCGCGCGTGACCTGGGCGACCCGGGCCGTGGGCTCGACGCGCGGCCCTCCCGGGCCAACGCGGCATCAAAAACAGAAAAAAAGGTGTTTTCAGTGTCGGGAGGTTGAATGAACTCACGAAAGCTACACATGCTTGCGCATTCCCGTGTCTGCAAAGCCCGGGCGCCCCGCAGGTGCTCCGCAAATGCTGATTCCCTTTGCCGCCCTGAGGATGCCCGAGGATGCCCCGAGGATATCCCGAGGATGCCTGAAGATGCCCGAGGATGCCCCACAGATGCCCGAGGGTGCCCCAAGGATATCCCGAGGATGCCCTAAAGATGCCCGAGAGTGCCCCGAAGATCCTCGAGGATGCCCTAAAGATGCCCGAGGGTGACCCGAGGATGCTCCGAGGGTGGCCTGAGGATATCCCGAGGATACCCCGAGGATATCCCCAAGATGCCAGAGGATGCCCCGAATATTGCCGGAGGATGCCCCAGGATGCCCTGAGGATGCCCGGAGATGCCCGAGGGTGCCCCGAGGATGCCCGAGCGCCCGCGTGACTTCCAAGAGACGGGGTGGGGCATTTCTGTCTGCTGAGGACGTATTTGCGCTTACGTTCACACACTCGTTTTGCCTTTCTTTTTTCTCCTATTTAAGGCAGGATTCTGTTCTTTCAAATAGGGTATGAGACCCTTGACAAATCCTTTAGACAGGCTGGTGCATCCTTAACATAAGAAGGAATGACCCACAGAACTGGGGCTTGGTTTGCAGACCAGCTCTTCCTCTGTGGGTGTTTCACTCTAAGACATCCGGGCCACACTGATCCCTTAAAAGTCTCCAGTCCAGGATCTAAAATATTTCGAGCTGTGCCGCTTTCTTTGCGAAAGCTGTTGGATAATTTGGATAAAGAGCTTTTCAAGTAAGTGCCTCTCAAGCTACTAAGTACGTCTTGGGCTCTCATCAAGCATCCAATTTCTTATAGACAACTGAAGTTTTTTTATTTTTAAAGATTTTATTTATTCATGAGAGAGAGAGGCACAAGCACAGGCAGAGGGAGAAGCAGGCCCCACGCAGGGAGCCCGACATCGGACTCGATCCCGGGACTACCGGGTCACGCCCTGGGCCGAAGTCGGCACTAAACCGCTGAGCTACCCGGGGATCCCCCCCCCCTTTTTTTTTCAATTCCTCCGTGTTGAGAATGAAACAAACCCCTAAAATGCTATGGCAAATTAAAATAGGTCCTTCATAATAGCACTAGGCTCACTGACACTCAATAGCTTGAGTAAAAGTGAGCCCGCATTGAAAAACAACACACACAGTCAAGCCCTATTTGGTTAGTGACATTTATTTCCCTGTCAATTGTCAGATTGAAGAGGGGGTTTTAATTTAGTGGAATAAACAAAGGGAAGGTTGAGAACCCTAGGGGAGTAAGCAGGGCTGGCTTTATGAGAGTACAGCTTGTGCAGTAGCACAGAGAGCCCCCTGCTCACAAGGGCCCCTCACTTGGTTTAATGTTTTGTATTGTCATCTTGAGATTCTTAATAATTCTTGAGCAAGAATTTTTTATTTTGCACTGAATCTCACAAATTATTTATCTTGGTGCTAGGAACAAAGGCGGGAAGTGGTATAGAAATGACACTAATAAAAAACCTGTATGGGGGATCCCTGGGTGGCGCAGGGGTTTGGCACCTGCCTTTGGCCCAGGGCGCGATCCTGGAGACCCGGGATCGAATCCCACATCGGGCTCCCTGCATGGAGCCTGCTTCTCCCTCTGCCTGTGTCTCTGCCTCTCTCTCTCTCTCTCTCTCTCTCTGTGACTATCATAAAAAAACAAACAAAACAAAACCTGTATGTCCGGCACAAGGCTAAAAGCTTAAAACATGATCTCATTCAACATGCCCTTGAAGGTAGGTATCATCATTCACGTTTTACCAAAAATGAAACAGGACAGCAGAGACTAAGTTGCTTACTTACTCAAGATTATTAATTTAGTAATGGTAAATCAACTTGTCACAATTCTCCATAGAGAAGAATTTGTTTTTGTTTTTGTTTTTTAAGATTTTATTTATTTATTCATGAGAGACACAGAGAGAGAGAGAGAGAGGCAGAGACACAGGCAGAGGGAGAAGCAGGCTCCATGCAGGGAGCTGGACGCACGGGACTCTATCCCGGGACACTGGGGTCACGCCCTGGGGCTGAAGGCGGGGCTAAACCGCTGAGCCACCCGGGCTACCCATAGAGAAGAATTTGCTAATAATGTTTCTTCCATACAGGAATCACTTCCTCTGCCCATTTTCCTTGGTGCTTCAAATACCAGGTAACTTGAAGTAGGGAAAATAAACATCCATTGCATATATTAAGATGCATAAAATACAGTTTATTCGAGCTGATATGTGTTTCTTTGTTGTGCAATGAATTAGGAAGTGATTTTTTTTTATTCTATAAATCCCATCCTCAGTTTTCATTACCTAGTTCTAATCTAGGATAATTTCAGGAAATAAATATGTTGAGCCTAGATCATAACTGCCTACTTAAGGACCAAATGAGAGAATTGCAAGGCAAAATAAACATATTGAATTAAAATTATGGTTGAAACAATATTCACATGGGAGCATGGGTTGGGGTCTCAGTGTGACTAGCAGATGAAAAAAAAACCTGGGTATTTGTAAGCTTCAGTAGTCAAGACACCATGAACTTAGGCTCATTGCAAGTGACAAGCATGAACACTGATGTCTGTGGAGGGTGGGAAAGTTACCAGTGCCTGCTTCTCTCCTCCAAGCCAAATTGGCTACATAGGGCTCAGAGGAAGAGCTCTAGACAATGTTCAAGGGCCTCTACTTGAAAAGTGTGAAGGTGTTTGTGAGTGTCTTCATTGTATGTTTGGTAGTTAGGTACGTAGAGGTTGACTCTGAGGTCAAAGGAACAATTTGAATTCGCAAAGGTACAAAGCGTTTGGTTTTGTAGGGTTCGGGGCCTAGTGCAGTGGTTCTCAACTGGGATTGATTTTGGTGCTAGGAGATATTTGGCAATATCTTGGTGAAACTTTTTGGTGATCACATCTGGGGACTGGCATCTAGTGTGTAGAGGCCAGGGATATTGTTGAACATCCTAAAATGTGCAGGACAGCCTTTCACAGTAAAGAATTATCCAGCCCAAAGTGTCGGTTGGGCCAAGGTTGGGCACTTTGACCTAGTAGTAGCATTGTTACCATCCTGCTCCCAACTGTCTCCTCAGCTTCAGGTCCCCAGTTATAGTGAAGAACCAATCTTTGGATATGTGCTTTTAATTAAAAATAGACATTTTTAGAGAAAGAAGATAAGAGAGGGAGAGAAGTATTATTTAATTGCCCCTCATTGTGGGAATTTACATTCTGAGGCTAAAAAAATGAATGCATTTGCTAGAAAAGAGATTTAAGAAAAATATCGACATTTTTATGGAGCTTGTGAGTTGCCCCTAGGGTGAAAAGCTGATGAGTCAGAAATAATTTATAAGTCTTAGAAGTTGAAACCAGAAAACACAGAAAGGCTTCAGTTGGTTGAAAGCAAACTATAATTATGACTTGCTGTCATACAATGTGCATGTCATGCTGTATTTACTTAACAACTTTTATCCAAGGATCTCAAACCCTTTGCACAAAAACTTTAATCACTAAGAAACCCTCTTCTCTCTCTGTCTCTCTTTGCACACCAAGGCTGCAGCTTCAGATTTTCTCCATGTAACCTAAAAATATTTGCTTCATACCATGTGATTGTGGCTATGAGAAGGTGTAAGAGGCTACAGTTTTTCTAACAGTCAGCTTCTCTTTGCTTTGACCTTTCTTTGTGGTTCTGTAGAATTCTAATGAAAAGCCTGCATAGTTGTTTTAGTAATGCCATTTAAAACACTGTCAGGTTGTGCTCAGTGGACCTTGCTTTGTCATTTTGGAGAGAGATGGGGATCAAGGTGATCACTATGCAAGTGATTTGGTCCCAGTTTGTAAATAAAGTCTGCAAACTTCAGCCACTGTGGGAAAGAGAACTACTGGATGTCATATAGAAAGTGCAAGCAGCTTGAAATATATCATGTTTACTATGTTATATTTATAGGCACCCTTAATGTAACAGTTTTAAAAAAAAAAAGAAACCCTGTTTCTGATTGCAAAGGTAATTCATGATTATTATGGAGAATTGGGAAAATATAGAAAGGAGGTAAGAAGAAAATAGAAATAATCCATAAGAATCCATAATTTGGGTGCTCAGAAATAACCGTCCTTTAATAGTCTTTTCATAAAGCACAACTTAGAAAGATATTTTTTAATTTAACAAATATATTTCTGCATCTATTTATTTACCAAACCACAAAAACCACTGTGAGATGTATTGTCAGAACAAATGACATAGAAAAACATTATACATTTATTTGCTTTTGATATTAATTTGAAGGAAATGAATAAATATGGTCTCACCATCATCTTGGAGATGTTAATAATTTCAGTTTAATCAGTAACCTCCATGTTCCTGGTTTGAGTTTAATATAAACTCAAAAACAAAAATAATATTTATATGTTTAGGACTTCTTAAAGTTGATTCA